ACGTTTTGAGGTACCCTGAATCCAAATAACCAAGTCCCGAAAAATGGTCTGTGTGTATGTTAGCAGTCTGTGGTAGCAGCTCAAAAACGAAACTGATATTACGTATTTAAGATAGGTATATGCCTTAGATGTGACAGCTTTCTTTTTTTCCTTTATATTGTAAGAAAATTAAAGTTACTTTTGATGTATAATTGTATAGAAATAATAAATCATTGTGTAATAATTTGAAGCGTTTTCTATAAAGATGATATAACAGTAATTACTATAACGGTTTCGTCTATAAATGAGCGCCATTTTGAAATACACGGTGGGCCAGACCCCCTTACCGTGCACCCCCCCCACATCCCTATAAATTGCATATCGTTGTGTTCCTTGTAACAATTTATTAAAAAAAAGCCAATGTTCCCACAAAAAAAAGTGAACGCACTGCCCCAAAATGGCGTCCAAAGATGGCGGATTGACGACTTTGACTTTAGTTAGTTTTTTGGTCACTGAGAATCAGCATTAAGCTTAATTTCCTCATAGTTGGTCTTTTATTAAAGCTGAATAGTTATAGAATAATAAAACATGAAGAAATATTAAAAAATAATTGTCTCAGGCTATGAAAAACACCAGTAAACTCAATTTTTTTAACAAAAAAATTTTCAAGTTACAAATCAAGCGTCGTTTGTAATTAAACGGCCTACAATAACGCAAAACGTGCTGAAATAAACCATCTGGAGAATATATTTCTCTTTCTGAAACGCTGATTATTTTTTACAAATGTTTAAGTAGTTCCGTAAAAAATGCACTTATGCGGCAGAAAAGCGGTACTGGCGTGGGTGCCTACAGGCCTCTACCACACCATTCAGTGCCCATAAATGGCTTAGTTATAGTGATATAATAACATTTTTGGTACATTATATTGGTTTTATTAACGAACAAATATTAATGCAATAATTTTATAGTAAAAAAAAAAAAATTTAATTTAAAAAAAAATTTATTATAATTTTTTTAAATTTTAACCTCCTTTATTTTATACGTAGGTCGTTTAAGAATACCTCAATTGTAAAAATGATATAATTATAATAATAAAAGTTAATTAAAAAATATTTTGCTAAATATCTTGATTTTTTTTTATTTAACGTTTGCAATTTAACACTGTGTTTTGAATATTTACTGATTCTTAGAAGTAATTAAAATTTTTATATATTTCCCAGGAAATGAGTCATATTCATACCTTTTTTATAAACTAAAATAATATATACCTAATCTGAACTATATATAATGAATAGCTACCGGGTTGTTTAGTAAAACTCATATATCACTAATTAAAAAATTAATTTTTATTTCCTTTATTTTGTGCAGAAGTTGGACTATATCATAAATAAATAGGAAATTTTAATATTGAATGAATTATTCTCTATGCACAAAGAAAGATATAAAGGGTGACCCTATAAGTTCTTCTATAAACCAAAACTGATTGTTTGGATTTGATCTCAAAATGAGGAAAAACGTGAACTTAAACGAGAAAATTGGAAAAATACATTAAGCGAACGAGAAAGGAAGTGCCAAAACCTCGGAATAGATAAAAAGGACCAGTTATATCCATTATATAGCTCAATGAATGTATAGTAGATAGATGAACAGAATATTTCAAGATGCTGCTAAAACGGGATCAATTGCAGTTTGGATGATATTAAGTGGACGATGTAGGTTTATTATGGTGAAAACCACTTTATTTTCGATTGCTGAAGGTGCACCTCGGGACTATATTAACTTTGAAGATGAATATAGAGAGGTATATCGAGAAAGTTATAGCTCATGGCTTTCCTTCTGTTTAGTGGATTTTCAAAAGATTTTTTAAGGTATCTTATATTAGTTGTAGCTCGCTATTCTTCTCGTTATTCTTGAATTGTTCGGAATTTGTACCATATCATAAAAAAATAGGAAATTTTAATATTGAATGTATTATTCTCTCTGCACAAAGAAAGATGGAAAGGGCGAAACCAAACTGCTTTGACAGTTTTGCGCGTACATAGGCAACAAGCATATTAGAAAATAATATGAAAGGACTGTGGTTTTTACCTTTACAAGAAAGGAGATACTAGGAAATGTAATACCCATCAAGACCCATTCCTGTTTAGTGTATCAAACAAATTATACACAAGAATCGTAGAAGCTGGAATAAGAAATATTGTCGATTGCCAGAGCGATATGGATTGAGAAACTCAAGTTGCACATTGGAAGAGAAGTTGAAAATTGGGACTGTCTTCACTTTAAGGCAGGTTATAGAGAAGTCCACATAAAAAGAAAAATAGCTCTCTATCTGCTCAGTGCCTCACACTTTGGATTATGCTAATATCTAACTGTCTTTCAGAAAAACTCGTTTTCCTTTTAGATCCCTTAAAAAATCTTTTGAAAATCCACTAAACAGAAGGAAAGCTATGAGCTATAACTTTCTCGATATACATCTCTATATTCATCTTCAAAGTTAATATAGTCCCGAGGTGCACCTTCAGCAATCGAAAATAAAGTGGTTTTCACCATAATAAACCTACATCGTCCACTTAATATCATCCAAACTGCAATTGATCCCGTTTTAGCAGCATCTTGAAATATTCTGTTCATCTATCTACTATACATTCATTTAGCTATATAATGGATATAACTGGTCCTTTTTATCTATTCCGAGGTTTTGGCACTTCCTTTCTCGTTCGCTTAATGTATTTTTCCAATTTTCTCGTTTAAGTTCACGTTTTTCCTCATTTTGAGATCAAATCCAAACAATCAGTTTTGGTTTATAGAAGAACTTATAGGGTCACCCTTTATATCTTTCTTTGTGCATAGAGAATAATTCATTCAATATTAAAATTTCCTATTTATTTATGATATAGTCCAACTTCTGCACAAAATAAAGGAAATAAAAATTAATTTTTTAATTAGTGATATATGAGTTTTACTAAACAACCCGGTAGCTATTCATTATATATAGTTCAGATTAGGTATATATTATTTTAGTTTATAAAAAAGGTATGAATATGACTCATTTCCTGGGAAATATATAAAAATTTTAATTACTTCTAAGAATCAGTAAATATTCAAAACACAGTGTTAAATTGCAAACGTTAAATAAAAAAAAATCAAGATATTTAGCAAAATATTTTTTAATTAACTTTTATTATTATAATTATATCATTTTTACAATTGAGGTATTCTTAAACGACCTACGTATAAAATAAAGGAGGTTAAAATTTAAAAAAATTATAATAAATTTTTTTTTAAATTAATTTTTTTTTTTTTACTATAAAATTATTGCATTAATATTTGTTCGTTAATAAAACCAATATAATGTACCAAAAATGTTATTATATCACTATAACTAAGCCATTTATGGGCACTGAATGGTGTGGTAGAGGCCTGTAGGCACCCACGCCAGTACCGCTTTTCTGCCGCATAAGTGCATTTTTTACGGAACTACTTAAACATTTGTAAAAAATAATCAGCGTTTCAGAAAGAGAAATATATTCTCCAGATGGTTTATTTCAGCACGTTTTGCGTTATTGTAGGCCGTTTAATTACAAACGACGCTTGATTTGTAACTTGAAAATTTTTTTGTTAAAAAAATTGAGTTTACTGGTGTTTTTCATAGCCTTAGACAATTATTTTTTAATATTTCTTCATGTTTTATTATTCTATAACTATTCAGCTTTAATAAAAGACCAACTATGAGGAAATTAAGCTTAATGCTGATTCTCAGTGACCAAAAAACTAACTAAAGTCAAAGTCGTCAATCCGCCATCTTTGGACGCCATTTTGGGGCAGTGCGTTCACTTTTTTTTGTGGGAACATTGGCTTTTTTTTAATAAATTGTTACAAGGAACACAACGATATGCAATTTATAGGGATGTGGGGGGGGGTGCACGGTAAGGGGGTCTGGCCCACAGACTAAAACGCCCATGGTTTGAGTTGGCATAATAGTGTAAATCAAGTTGCTGAGGATAGACTAAAAGTTATGGTGTATGACTAAAAGTTTTCTTAAAAAAAGTTATAAGACTTTGACCCTTCGATTAGACTATTATATATGACAAGTGTGGCTGAGCATCTGTAACGCCTTGCTAAGAATCGTATAGGCACACCCCACGTCTATTTCTCTACTCCATTCTCTCTTTACAAACAAACATACAACATAGTGTTACAAACAACAATACAAAACATAGTGTTAAATTACAAACGTTAAATAAAAAATAAATAAAGATATTTAGCAAAGTATTTTTTAATTAAGTTTTATTATTATTATTATATCATTTTTACAATTGAGGTGTTCTTAAACGACCTACGTATAGAATAAAGGAGGTTAAATTAAAAATAAATAATAATAATTTTTTTTTTTTACAATTAAATTATTACATTAATATTTGTTCGTTAATAAAACCAATATAATGTACCAAAAATGTTATTTTATCACTATAACTAAGCCATTTATGTGTACTGAATGGTGTGGTAGAGGCCTGTAGGCACTTTCTGCCGCATAAGTGCAAAGTGCATAAGTGCTAAGCCAATTAATTTTTAATATTTCTTCATGGTTTATTATTCTATGACTATTCAGCTTTAATAAAAGACCAACTATAAGGAAATTAAGCCAAATACTGATTCTTAGTGACTAAAAAACTAACCAAAGTCAAAAGTCGTCAATCCGCCATCTTTGGACGCAATTTTGGGGGCAGTGCGTTCACTTTTTTTTGTGGGAACATTGGCTTTTTTTTTAATAAATAGTTACAAGAAACACAACGATATGCAATTGATAGGGATGTGGGGGTGCACGGTAAGGGGGTCTGGCCCACCGTGTATGAGAGCAATGTTCAGCATTTCATTCCCTTTATAATGAGCTATTATTTATATTTCATATTATTAATCCTGTCTTGATGTTTTCACTTGTATCGTGTGGTTTAAAGCACACTCCTATTTTTTTTTTTATTTATGTATATATATATTTTTTAAACATCTAAAATATGCTACAGAACTGCTGAGACACAGCAACATGCAGGTGGTCCTGATGGATTGGTCCAAGCTGGTTCCTGGAGGATGCTATTTCACGTCCGTCTACAACGTACAGTATGCGGGGAGGTGTCTCTCAGACCTGATACTCTCGATGGACCTGCCTTCATCCGGGCTGCATGTGATCGGGTTCAGTCTTGGAGGACACGTCCCAGCCTTAGCAGCAGACTTCTTAGCTCCGTACAAGATACCGAGAATCACAGGTTATGTTCTAATCTAGTTATAGTTTGTTTCTTAAATTCATTTTAATTCAAATTTCTGATTTGAGAGTAATGTATCAATTATATAAAATCTGAGCTAAGATTATGACTAGTTCACCCGTGCTAATACTCAGCACAAACCTGATAGCCAGGACCAAAATATCGACCTCGTTTCAGGGGAAGTTTCGATTGTAAATTACAAAAGTGTATGTTATTCTGAGTAAAAAGAATCTGATCTGCCGTTCCAGATCCACTGCTTTAAAAAATGGCAGCTGATTTAAAGAATATTAGGCCAATAATTTTGAGGATCGAAACGGGAAATCCATTGCGAAAAATGTGAGAAAAGTTTTTATTTTTTAACTTGTATATTTGGGTTTAGACAAGTAAAAACCTAAATTACTAACGCGGGCCACCAAGAGAAAACTTTTAACAGCCAAAGAAAGTCAGATTTTTTTGTATTATCACCTATAACTCCTAAACAATGCATCAAAGTGAAAAATTTATTCTTTAATAAATTAAAGAATGTTAAATTTTGCATCGAACGAGTACATAAACTTTATAATTTGGTTACGTGGTAAGGTATAAAACCAGGGATAACCAACACTGATGTTTACCAAATTTGTCAAAAACAGACATATGACTATAACTGTAACTTAGGCCAATTATATATCTTGAATCCGGATTCGTTATTCCTTTATGAAATTCCATATCTTTTGACACTTCCGGTGACATATATAGCAGCAATTCTTAAGTTTTATTGATTGTGTACTTAGAATTGTCGTCCTACTGAAACATGTATGTATCCTCCGTTCCTAACATTAATGCACTGTTATTTAAATTGCTCCACAACACGTCCACATATTTGTCTCCATTCATAATCCCATCAAAAAAGGCTAGTTTGCCAACTCCTTTGGCACTCATACAGCCTCAAACCATGACACTGGTCTCTCCATGCTTCACAGTAGTTTGTAGATTATGGGTTTCAAATGCCTTTCCTTTTTTCTTTCAAACATATTTTCTTCATCAGATACAAATATACTATAATTGCTTTCATCTGAAAACAACACATTTTTCCAAAACCTGTAGGATTTATTCACATGTTCTCGGGCAAACTACAATTTGTTTATCAAAATCCTTTGCTGCTGAGAAGTGGAAAAGAGGATTATACTGTATGTAACACGCTCTAAACAAAAATAACTCAGTAGACAGTCATACTCTTGAAATATTAAAAATCACGTTTACCTTTATTACCAATTTCTAACCATCCAGAGATAACCGATATTTTTTTTAAGTAAGTAAGTGACCTACATTAAATTAATTGGTACTTACTTGACAAAAATTTGATGCTCTACAACTTTGATTCTATAGATTTTTCTTATTAAGGAACTCATTTACAAGTTATAGGGCCATTTATAGTCAGATTGTTTATCAAGTCATTACAAGAAGAATAAGAATATTCTTAGATTTTCAATTCCAGCATCCCTCATAAATTTTCAACTGAAATAAGATCCGGTGACATATATAGCAGCAGTTCTTAAGTTTTATTGATTGTGTACTTAGAATTGTCGTCCTACTGAAACATGTATGTATCCTCTGTTCCTAACATTAATGCACTGTTATTTAAATTGCATCACAACATGTCCACATATTTGTCAGAATTCATAATCCCTTCAAAGAAAGTTTAGTTTGCCAACTGATTTGGCACTCATGCAACCTCAAACCATGACACTGCTCTCTCCGCGCTTTACCCAGATTTTTGGTTTCAAATACCTTTCCTTTTTTCCTTTAAACATATTTTCTTCGCCAGATACGAATATACTATAATTGCTTTCATCTGGTAACAACATGTTTTCCCAAAACCTGTAGGATTTATTCAAATGTTCTCGGGCAAACTTAAATTTTTTTCCGTTTATAAAAGGTTTTTTCTTACCACTCTATCTCTATAGCCAGTTTCAAGTAGCCGATTCCTCTTGGTTTGCAGTGTTAAAGATTTCCCATAAGCTGATACGATATGAGCCGAAACCTCTCGAGCACTTTGGATTTTTTTGCCACTGAACATACAATTTCATGAGATTCTCGCTCTATCAACAAGCTTTTTCTCCTTCACGGGGATTTATTGTCCACTGAACCATGTTTAAATTCTTTTATAATTTAATACACTAGTCCGAACTGTTTTTATAATATTCCGCAAACTTAAATCCTGTTGAAAATGTTTTGCAGCGTCATCTTTGAGATGAAAACTTAACTTTTTGGACCTACGACCCATTGCCAAAAAATATTCTGTAGTACTGAACTGAACAAACAATTTATTGTGCAGTTTTGTTGTTTAACTCTCAGGAGTAAATGATTATAAATAGAACTTTAAAACATTGTTTTGATAACAGAAATTATTGTATCATTAACACTTGCTCTAATGTACGAATACTTGTTTTGTTTCCAAATTATTGAAATATTAATGTTATAAAATTAGTATGAGATTTTAAATTTTGGCACTGTGTAAAATTTCCACAAAGTGAAGTTTGTAATTGATCTCTTTGATGAGTTATTTCCAATTAAAAAAATTATATCGAACCAATTTGGGCAAAAAATGTGGTATAATAAATAATATAATAATACTTTTTTTGTTCACTGTTTGGATAAAGAGACATATTATACTTCTTCCTAGTAGGTATAAATGTGCTTAAATATGTCGCTTATTTTGTGTGTTATGTGTAAATTATGATTTTTACAGGTTTGGACCCGGCGCTGCCACTGTTTTGGGGATATTTCTCGCAGAGAAGACTTCGCAAGGATGATGGAGTATTCGTAGATGTGATACATACCAATGCCTTCGTGGAGGGCCACTTCCTACCACTTGGCCATGTGGACTTCTTTGTCAACGGCGGTATCATTCAGCCGGGCTGTGGCGGTTCCTTGTTAGGTTGGAAGTTCACTATTTGCTGATTATTGTCCAAGACTAAAATTTTACTGAGCATTCAAGTAATTATTAGTCTTATCATTGATAAATTATTAGCTAATCTGTAGTTCTGACTTTTTTCTTTAATGTGTTATGTTCGGCTCAATGATATTTTATCAAACAAGTAGAAAATTAACTCAATTTAAATAATTTAAAATTGCTCTACAACGGTAGATATTTGTCTGTTCTCTGAGCTTCTACAGCCCTTGAAAGTATTATTTGACAATATGATTCTGCAGTATAATATCTGTCAATATCACCTATACGCCGATGACGCCCAAATTTATCTTTCCTTCAACCCGACAGATTCCTCTAATGCCATCCTGAAACTGCAACAAGACATCAATAGAATATGCACATGGGCAAATCTTAATAAGCTGACATTGAATACGGAGAAGACAAAAGCCATCCTGATCGGATCCTCCTCACTCCTCAAATCCATTTCAACACCTCCTAATCTTCTTCAGAACAACTCACCTATCTCCTTCCATACCACTGTTAAAAACCTACGCGTTACCCTCTATCAAAGCCTATCCTGGAAACCCCACATCTCCCAAATTTCCCGCCGTACTGTATCCACCCTGAAACAGTTTAACCATCTACGTTATCTTCTGTTCAAAACCTGTCAACTCCTGGTCTCTTCTCTTGTTTTCCCCCACTTCCACTAAGGCTGCATGATGTATAGTGGACTCTCGGGAGAACTCAAAGCCAAACTTAAACGTTTAATGAATTGCTCAATCCGCTTTATCTTCGGGATCTCAAGGGATACGCATATTGCCCAGTTCTACACCAAGTTGAAGTGGCTTTATCCGTTCTACCGCCGTCAATATTTCCTTGCTACCTTCCTATACCAAGTCATTAGAACACGGCGACCTGCCTATATTCTACAGATCCTACAATTCAAACGCTAGTTTCAATCCCATCCCACCAGATCCCGTGCGTCTGACCTCTATTCTCCTCCTCACCGAACTGTTGCGTTTGATAAATCCTTTTTAATACAATTTGTCTCCCTCTGGAACTCTATACCTTCAGATATTCAACATGCAATATCAATATCCTCTTTCAAATCCCTCCTCTTCAAACACCTACTCCATTCCCAATCCGATTGATCATGAAATGCACTTAAAAACCTAAGCTGTAAAAACCTCAAAGTACACCAAGATACTCTGATTATTTTGTGATTCATCGATATTTCGTTTACTTAATTACTTTCTCTGTATATTTTATATTTACACGTATTTATATCTTTTTATCATTTATAACTTTATTGTACTACGAATCAACCTGGAAATATTAAATTGTATTTTATGGACACACCAAAATATTAATACATATTCTGTATTTGTAACTTGTTCTAAAGGGACACTAGTCCCAGAATAATAAAATTATTTTCAGTTCATTTCATATAATGTTAGTTCTCAGCTATAAATATTTAATTTTATAATTTCATTTAACTACTTATTTCTTCTATCAGTGAGGACACTTGGAAAAAACATTATGAGACCCTCCTTAACAAAAGATTATGGCACAAGAAGGCAATGCACAGGATGACTCCAAGCCGGACCATATGCAAGTGATCGAAGAAGAAGTGAGGGTTGCTATAGGCAGAGCTAAAAGCGGAACAGCTCCAGGACCTGGCAGCTTGTATATCGAACTTTCAAAGGCCGGCGGAGATAAGATGCTTACACTCCTTATCAATGTAATGAACATGGTCCTGAAAGGGTGTGATCTACTTGATGATCTCCGAACAGGATACCTCTGCTCCATCTTTAAAAATGGAGATAGGAAGCAATGCCAGAATTATCGCGACATCTGTGTACAGAGCTCAGTCAGTAGGATTGTTGGGAGACTTGTCCGGGATAAGCTGGAAGCAGAGTACACCACACCGGTGGAACAAACTGGTTTCACTGCCGGGAGATCCTGCATGGACAATATTTTTTTACTCCGGAGCTCATTGAGAAATGCAAGGCGAATAATAAGGAGCTTCATTTAGCCTTCATTGATCTGGAACAGGCATATGATAAGAGTTCTTAGTGAAAGAATATGACCAGCACTGAGAAGAGCGGGTATTAATGAATTATGGTACAAACAATTCAACACTTGTATGGAAGCGATCTGTACGGAGTGAAGATTGCGAACCGCCTCTCCAAGCATTTTCAAGATATGATTTCAAGATACTTGGATGATGTAGTGAAGCAATAGATGAGACAAAGTTGGGACTACGTGGTTTACTTTGATGACCACGAGCTCCTTACCCTGTTCTTTGCAGATGATGAGGTAGTGATGGCCCGGAAGAAAGTTTTCCTGGAGATGGTGGTTGTCCAATTAAAGAAAGTTTATGAAGAGGCAGGTCTCAGGATTAACTTCCAAAAGACTGAGTATATGGCACTGGGAGATGAGGAAGACTATCTACGCATAGGTGATCAGGCGTGCAGAACAGTAAAGGCATTTAAATACCTCGGGTCCTATGTGCACGATGTGGGGACATCCAAAGTGGATGCTTTTCATGAAAGCTTTTCAACCAAACAAAAGAAATATGTATTGATAAAAATGTTTATCATTTTACGGTGACAATGTCTTAATACAAATATATAAATACAGTCTCTTAAGAGTAGTAGAAACTCTAGCACTGTTTCAGAAGAAAGATCTGGTCTAATATGCTCCTCTTTTTTTTTTTTTCGGAATCCAGTTTGGTTGTCGCCTATTGTATTTTTGTAATTGGTTATTGCCTTATAGGCAACAGGAAATAATGCTATATATATCTCTGTAATTGCTAAACTCATACATGGAGCCTTTCTTTAGAATAGGATAGACTAGGCCTACGTTGTAAGCCTTTGGTATCCTTTCCTCCTACAATATTTTCTGGATTACTTTTGGTAGCTTTACTCTTATTTCTCCTCCCTCATCATTAAACAGTTCTAATGGAGTAGAAGACACAATAACCATTAAATAATCAACATTCAGAAATAGACTAATGTATAAAAATAGCAAACAGAGCTTTGCTTTTATTCTTCTAAATTATTTTGATCCAGAAAAATCTCCAGAAATATGAATCTGTGTACAATGCTATGATAAAACCAGTTTTCTAATAAATGCTCAATAGAGTTTTATGACCCACAAAAAAAAAAAAAATCAATCAGTCTCATTCTATCTCAAACGATTTCAGTATTTTCCATGCAGAACTTTTTGTTGTTTTTAAGGCTGCATAACATACTAACCTATACTATAAAAAGTGTAATATAGTCATCCTCACAAATTCAGCTTCTGTATGATAATGCCTACAAAATGCACAATAACATTCTGTATAAAATTCTTAACACAATTTCCACATCAAGCAATAAATTGTCATTTCAGGACATGTAGGTCTACAATTATTTAATTCTAAAATCCCCAAAGCAGACATTTTCCGTTCACTAAGTAAGACCATGGTCAACGAATGGCAGAATTTATATATGACTGGAAGTCTCAAAGCAAAGGGAGAAACCATTCATTTTCAATTTCAATTCAGCCAAAAATCTCTTTAAAACCTTGGTTTGCCTCTATTGGAATATTTATGGAAAGAAGTGAGGTAACAAATTTAATTAGGCTGAGAACCAATCATGGAATCACAAATAAATTCTTTAACTTTTTTTTTAAAACTTTTATTGTGATATTTACAACGGTATTAGTATGAATACATCAAGTAAATGTGTACATAGGAATATTATCACATGAAACACGCTTGTTGAGAAACCACCCATTGGTAGCACTCTAATAATTTGTCTACATGAGGAAATCACGAGTCCATCTCCTTTTCAGACGCCTCGGAGGGTTATCAGGAATCGAATAGGAAGCAAGGTTAGAAACAAGAGGATTCGGATGATTATGAAGTTTATTATGGAAGGATAGGTATCTGGATTTGGCCAAATCGGAAACATATGGAACATTGAGGTCTTTATGGATTATTTTATTTGTGACAAAGTAAGTAGCATTGAGGATTTTATGAAGGATTTTGGATTGTAAAGATTGGATACGAGAGGAATTTGATGGTTTAGTGGAGCCCCACAGCTCAACTCCATAAGTCCAAATAGGTCTTATTATAAATTCTTTAACTTAATAATAAAAATAAAGACGACACCAAATTGTGAGATATTTGATGAAGTCGAGGACCCACTACATCTGGTGATATTGTATAAGCGTTTTAGGAAAGAAAGGAGGAAATATATCAAGGGTATGTCACTCAATATTCTTAAAATAAAGAAGGAACAGAATCGTGAAGGATACAATCAACTTTAAAAGTACTGCAGAAAAATAAAATTATACCTTTAAAATTTTTATGTTCTCACTGGGGCTCATCAATACAATAAAACTATGATCAGGGGTAGAGCACTTTGTTACTTTTAAAGTATTAACACATTAAAGGCGGTGGATCTTGACGAAAGTATGCTAGTCGAGATAAATCGTAGTACTACGACTCCCGCCTTTAATGTGTTAACATAATGTACATCGCATGTAACCTCCATGCTTGCTCAAGCTACACTACCCTTGGTGTCCTCTCACCTGAAACAGTGTTGCCATAATCCACTTTCCAAACACATATAATAATAGTGGATAGTCCACAACAAATACCTAAACAAATATAAATTTCTGGCAAAATAGGATTTTGTCACGGCTCTGATTTCTAGCTGTGAGACCTGGACAATAACCAGCACCATAGAAAGAAGTATTGAAAGATTTGATAGAAAAAGCCACACATGGAGGAGAAGGACCAATAAAGAACTGCTTACAGGAACTCGTCAATCATTATCTCGTTTATATAAAGGCAAGGAGGTTTAAATTGACCAGGGATGTAGCTGGGACCAGTCCATCAGGAAGCACCTACTCAATAATGAATGAATGCCTCATTATTAGGCAAGAGATCTTATGCAAGGCCAAAAAAAAAAGATGGTTTAATCAAATCAACAAATATGCTGTAAAACTGCATGCAGATAATAGGAAAGCAATAGCAAGAAAGTAGAGGCAATGTATCCAAAAGATAAGAAAACTCTGTTTGTAATCATCACTAACTTTGAAGCTGTAATATAATTAACTCACAAGTTTATTATTATTATTATCAGAAGTTGCATAAAAATGGTCAATCAACTATCGAATGTAGGATAGGATCTAATTCTAAGAATAAAAAATAAATTGTCTGAATAAACTCTCAAAGGCACCCATTAATACAAACTTTACTATTGCATTTAGTTTCATATTTTATCACATTTAAGTTTATTTATTTATTTTTTTGTATAGTTTTAGTGCTTTTATTACTTCACTATCTCTTTGTAAGATAATAAATTGAATTGCCGTTCTACATTTTTTTTCTAGATAAAATCGGTTGCTCTCATGCAAGATCACCCATGTATTTTAATGAATCGATAAACAGCGAAGTTGGGTTCTGGGGCTGTACTGCTAAGTACAGGAATATCGAAAGCTCTTGTAAGCCTGAAGAAATTAAATGGCTGATGGGTTATCATGTGGACAACAAGTAAGTTATCGTTGTATAGATCTTTTTTTACACAATAATTGTTTTCTATTAAAAATTAAAATGTACCTTTGTGATTTTTGAATTAGTCATAAATGTCATTTCTGTTTCTACTAGTATTTTATAGCATAAAAATCCGATGAGATTCGTGACAAATTTCATATTAAAAATTACTAGCAGTAATTTGAAAAATGGTTAATAATCAAAATTAAGAGTACTTTAGAGCAGAGGTCTCCAAACGTTTTGGCCCACAGGCCGCACTGAGACCTCCATTTAAGTCCTGCGGGCCATGGCTTGTGACGAAAAAAAAAATCTTATTTTATAATTGACACTTCGGTTGGGAAAAAACCTTTCTAAGAAAACAAAATAATACAAAAAATGTGTAATTTGCTAAATTTCATATTGTTTTAATAGTTTTTAAAATTTTACAATATAATCAAAGAAACTTTCCTGGGCGATAGTTTGGAGACCTCTGCTTCAGAGAAAGAAATTTTAGACATTTAACACTTAGGCTCTGCCAGAATATTTTGATTAAGGAAATACATACCTTATATTAAAGATCACTCCGTATTACATTGGTGTAACAAATTTAATAAAATTTGTTGGATCCATTTTTTAAAAAATTGTAAAAATATGTAAATTCCATGAATGTCACTTCTAGTTTAGATTTTGGTGAATAAGTTGCCGCTATATCCAAGGTATATGCCTACTCTAAATTTGTAATTTTGTGTCACTTTTTGTTTTCGAGATAGGCTGTTTCCATACACACTATTTTGTGAAACTTGATTTTTCATACTCAGGAAAACTCAAAACGTGTATTTCTCTTGGAATTTAAATTCAAAATTTTACATTATTGCAATACTACTTATTTCATATATAAGTAAGTGAAAGTAAAAAAGGATTGAAAATCAAAACAATAATAGTGCTTTTTAATTATTTATCTTTTAATATATTTTTTTTATTATCAGAAATTATAACAAAAAAGAGTAATATCCATTACGATAAGCTACTAATAAGATAATTTTCTAGATATTCCTGAGACTAGATAACATTATAAGATAAGATAAGTAAAAAAAAAAAGGTAAAATAAATTAGAAATTAAGTTTATCATGCCTTTATAGAAAAGATCCTCTTTACACCACCAAAACAATTGATATCTGACATCCGAAACTTCTTAAAAATAAACATTTTGTGTTGTGAAGTTGTTTTTCTGGTCTCAGGAATTCCCAGTATAGTGCCTACTTTCACTTTAAACAAAAATTTTGTAATACATTTTAACAAAACAAAGTATAAGTAAGTTTTTAAGTTTAAAATAACATTTTTTTTTTTTTACTTAATATTGATTCTTAATTTAATTTAAGAAAAATATTGTTTCCTTTTTGTTTTTCAGTCTTCGCGGAATAGTCATTCTTAAAACAGCTAGCAACCCGCCATTTGCACTTGGAAAGCCATGAAAAATGATCACAGGATAAATGATACAACATGTTATTTATTTAATTAATGAGATGGAATAGAAATACCATTCCACAAATCAATGTAAATATATTTGAAAGTATTAATAAATCAAGTTTAATGGCATATAGAGCAGAGAAACAAATTAAGAATTACACAAGAATACTTTAAGCAAGGCAATCAAAGAAAATGTACTAATGGGAAAAGACAGAAGATAAAATAAAACAAAAAAAAGTACGATTGGATTCCTAAAATCCTAAAAAATGTAGAAGGAAGTCATCGGAACTTTAACTTAAACAACGAAGTGCTACAGCAGGAAATTCTTTAAATGAAATATAAAATAAAGATTGAATTTAATAGAAGGTTTGAGTTTTAAAGAGACATTTTTAAGCTTGTGCTGCTATCTATTGCATATCAGTGAATGCTTAGTTATCTCCATTATTTTCATCGAGATCTGATTTCATATCCTACCAATATTAATAAACAGTTTCTGTTAAAAACCTAATACGTTCTGACAGAATGTCTCTTAATAAAGCTTCAGGCACAATATCTTACAAATCACAGAAGATGCCACAAGTATGAAGTTAAGATAATTTTATACTTTAGACTACATCTTGTCTGAGATATGAGGAATCCTTATCTTGTATTTAAAGAAAAACATAATGTTGAATACTATGAGAACTATGTGACCTCTCTTCAAGTTTCTGTTAATAAATATGATGATTAAGATAATACCAGTTGTAAATAAAAAAGAAAACCTTGTTCACAACGGATGACTTCTGAATCTTATTAAATTTGAATTTTCTGTATTCGTTCTTATTTCAGTATTTTGATTTACTGTTTAATACATGTTTTGTTTATCCAAAGCTCTTTTATTTTTTTTTATCCTCTTCCATGACAGAACTAGTTGTGCCCAAAAATATATTTGTATATTGTATAAAACTACTTCATTTATCCCACTAGCGGATCCAGGATTTAATTTTGGGGGGGGGGGCTTCAGCCCGGAAGATTTTTTTCATATACAGATAACAATGATTAATTTGAAAAGAAAATAAAGAAATTAATTACACATATGAAATGGTGTTTAAGTGGTTCTCAAAGTCCTATTAAATATAATTACACGAACAAGAATACTTAAAAGATAGTTTTTAATATTTTTTTCAGTAAAATATGGTTACATTTTACCATTTTGGGGGAGGGGGACTTCAGCCCGAAAGCCCCCCGTAGATCCGCCTCTGATTTATCCTAAGGGAGATACTCATTTGCAAGCTATATAACTAAGAATATTTGTTTCAGTGATTTATTCTTCCAAAATCATTCCACTCAATTACATCATAACGTTTCAGAATCCACTTTTATATCCCATCTTCAGACAGTGTCCCACATCATCTTATTCTCCATAAGACTTGTCATATTATATTATTTTTTTTGTTATTGTCCTATTCCTTGAAATCATATTTTAGTCTCCTCTAAAATATTATTTTAACTATTCAGTATCTGACTAGACTCTCCCTAGAGGGGACTAAAATATTATTTCAAGGAATAGGAAGATAATAAAAAAATAATATAATATGACAAGTCTTATGGAAAATAAGATGATGTGGGATACTGTCTGAAGATGGGATATAAGTGGATCCCGAAACGTCATGATGTAATTGAGTAGAATGATTTTGGGAGAATAAATCACTGAAACAAACATTATGACCAGAGATTGAATTTGTATGCAGTAAACAGATATTCAGAATAGTATTAAAAAACAATATATGCAGCAAAAAAAATCCTACAAATACGCAATAAATAAGAAAGCTAAAATATTCAAATACTTACACTAGTGTCTAAAAAAAAAAAATCTAAACTAAAAAGAAACTCTAGGAAGGATTAAAAATTAAATTAAAATTATTTAATTTTTTTGTAAATTTTTATAAACTAAAATAGTTAAAACAGTGTGACAAATTAAAATGGAAAATGAATATGCCAAATTGATATACCTGGATATTGATAGAAATTATTGAATAAATAAATAGTTAAATTTATATTACATTGAAAACAATAATTTATTGTAATCAATGAACATACTAGTAATATGTTCTTTTTCTTTTTGTTATATTATGTTATGGTTAATGTTCTGTTTTTTAATGTGGGAGTGTGTATGGCAGCTTCTGGTGTAGGAAATGTTCACTTTATAGTGGACATATTCACACGGTATAGTGGAAATCAAAGCTAAAAAAGAAATTTAGTTTTTATGAGGATAATGACAATAAATACTTCGCCATCATATATATATGCCATCATTATATATATATATATAAATGGTTAAAGATATAATTAGTTATAAAAAAAATAACATCAATTGGCAATTTTATATATAAAAAAAGATTAATAATTGACAATAATTAAATAAAAATATACAGATGAATATGAAAATAGTTAAAACACAGGTGAACACATAAGAAATATGAAGTTCGAAAATGTATTCAAATATATACATTAACATTTTAAACGTTATGTGAGAAACTTTTTAAATAATAAAATATGAAAGTAATAAAAAAAAATAGTAATTAAAGAAGATTAGCTTATACTTAAATATGCCACATGGAATTTGAATAATTGCATCTGAGTACCTTGGTAAAGATATTTGATCTGCAGTTAAAATAATAAATGTAAACAAAATATGCAATTCCATAAAAAAAACTAGCTTTGGTAATTCAAATTAAGGCAACAAAATATCTGTAAGGTCTGTAACGCAAACAGAAAAAAAAGGTTCTGATAACTTCCAAAAGTTGAAAAACTTCATTAAAATGCAAAATGTTGTTATGAAAGACATTGCTCAGGAAGAGTGAATTCTCTCTACCTAACATGTATTAGTCCAAGAGTCCGTTAAAAAAAATGACATCATCTAAAGAAAATTTTGAAAGCATTTGTTTGAATATTCATAACATTAAAATTTAAAAAATGTTGGCTGATTTAAAGGATATTAGGCCAGTAACTTGAACTTGACAAGAATTCTCAGACTCCTTCCATCCAAAAATATTTGTCCCACAATTTTTTCGCTACTTCTTCTAGACTTTTCTATTTGTTCCAGGGCAAGACTTTTCTCTGTAGAATTTCAAAAAGTGCTTCTGCTCTTTCTCTGTTCTATTCTATGGATGGAAAAACACTTCACCTAACAGGATTTCTATAATGAAGTCACTGAATGGCCATTAATATTTTGTTTATTTAATCTTTATTCGTTTTCAGGGAAGAACACCATACGAATAAATTGCTCTATTTTATAAACATTATTAACCTTATTGTAAGAGTGTACACTGCTATGATAAAGCCAGTTCTAATATACGGCTGTTAGACGTGGACAGTAACCAGCACCCTAGAAAAAAGTTTTGAAAGATTTGAGAGGAAAATCCTCCGTACGATAACCGGAGCGATTTGGGATCAGAGTACTAACACATGTAGAAGAATGACCAATAAAGAACTGCTTACAGAAACTGGTAGCTCATAGCAATCCATCTGGAAGCCTTTAGGTAACAATGAATACCTCAATAGAAGGAAAAAAAACACGTGGAAGGCCAAAAAGCAGATAGATAGATAGATGCAACAGAGCTGTGTGCAGATAAATGGAAAGAAATATCCCAAGACAGGCAGAGATGGAGCAGACTTGTTAAGGCGGCAAAAGATATACATGGTCTGTAATGCCAACAAAAAACTTATTGTACTACAATGTATTTTTTTCACTTTTTATGCTAGATTATAAATATTACAATAATGTAAATGATAACTTAAAAATCAGATAGTTAAAACAATGCCAATTATCAACATTAATATAAAATTAAAATTATCAATAGAACAAATAAAAACAATAAATAAAATTTATGCTTTAAATATTAATATCAAATCATATACTAAAATCAAATTACCAGATTATTCATATAAACAAAGAAACAAACCAGACCCAAACAAATTACTTCAACATTTATCATAATCTATGCCGATATCCAATCTACATTTTTATTACAATACTCAGAGGACAATACTTTAGATTATCCCACCAAATCTCTATAATTGCATATATTATAAATGAAAAAATATAATTTTCTCATATCTTCTATAGTGGTTAGTTCTTAATCTCAAATTATTATATATTGGGTATTTAAATAATAGATGATAAAGTGTTTCTTTTTACATTGTATTGCACATTTTGTACTGAAGTTGTGATCTGATTGTTGACTGAAATTTTAATCAAGTATTTTCCTGAGAGACGGATTTGCACTAATATTATGATATATTTTAAATTAGTCTGCATCAACAGGTACTGGGAGATTCTACCATTGTTTTAAAAAAAAGGTTCAAATGTTCATTGTAAGCTGAGCTATACAATGCTTTCTTGTCATCCTCCTGGAAATGTTGTTTAATATCATTTTAATATTAGCTCTAATTATGACTGGTTCAGTTTCATAAATCAAATCGCCCAATATATTATCTAACAATACTATAAACTGAGTACACCAATTATATTTCGAAAGAACAGAATTAGATTGGTAACATTTGGTTCTTAGCTTTTCGAAACTAATGTTAGGATATTTAAATTCCTCCATTTCAACAAGCCTAACCTACTAATTCAAGAAATGCTTCATAATATCGATACTAATAAGAATAGAAACTATTTCTAAACGTATTAAAAAGTCTGGGGTGAATTTACAAAGAGAAAATCTCTTTAATAAATGGCTAGAATGGCCATTAATAAATTTAAAAGAGTTCATTATTAAAAGACTATGACTTGTATTTATTGGAAATGAATATGTTCCAATTCAAATATTAACCAATTACATTCCGTCTGCTACATGCGCAATGCAGTTTTCTCTTTCCAAAAGCCTGTACTCTGCGAGCGCATGCGACGAAAAAACGTTATCCGCATGCGACGGCGCACAGTGGGACAAGTAAGGAGAAACCCGCGACATCGGCTAAATCTTTTTTTTTCAATTGAATATTTCCTAAAAAACAGTAAAAAAATGTACATTCTGCCAACTGAAAATTCTCAAGAACTCTACAAGGTTTCAATAAAACAGTTTATTCAGTTTTTGGCGTTCTACAAAAAAAAAAAAAAAAAAAATATATATATATATATATAAGTTAAGCGTCGGCGGACTCTAACAATAAAAAAAAAGAAAGGAAAGGGGTTGAAATGCAACACTCACGGTTTCAGAATAGATACTGCTTTATTCCTTTAGTAATCCTCCTTATATACATTTCATATGTTTATTTACATTCAGGACGGCATTAAGGCTGATATCGCCGGTCTCCGGTCTTTATCTCCCCCCCACCAGTTTACGAATAGGATTTTCGGAAACTTAGATATTCCTAGATCGGAGCCAACGGTTATCAGTCTTAACACCTTACAATTGTTCTTACAAGTATAAAGTTGAAAGAAAGTAAAACTCACTCGAGACATACAATAATAAAAAGAAATAAAAAAAAAACAGAACTAAACACAACACTTGCTTCCAAAAACAGAACTCTTAATACCCTAAAAAAGGAGAAAAAAAAAATAATACACTTTCCTCTACTGTATTGCTATGATTCTATTTACACATAAAGAAAAATACACCATATTTCTGCTTTGACAACCAAAAAAAAACATATTTGTTATAAACCGTGATGAGGGTACTACGAATCCAGTAGTCTTTGTTCCGGTTCTATCATTGGGAGCTTCAATTGTTCAATGTGAACAGTTCTCCTCTTTCTAGGTTCATTAACGCTTTCGATCGTTAGCAGATTATGCTCCCTAATAGCAACCACTCTGAATGGACCCTCGTACCGTAACAATTGTTTCCCTCTGTTGGTTCCTACTCTACGGTACACTATTGTCCCG